CCTTCTGTTCAGGTAAAATGCCGCTTGCAAAGCCCAGATTAAGTTTTTTTTGCCCTTGGGACTGCAGTGCTTTATCACACTTGGGGAGTTATCTGCTCTGAGGAGCTGAAGAGCTGAGAAATTCTTAAGCTGTAAACATGGTCAGCAGCCCCTCACCTGCAGCTTGTTCTTATCAAAGAATAAGGGAAAATAACGCATGGAAAGTGAATGGTAACTGCTTGAGAATGTAGCTGCTCAAATGAGAACATTTTGTGGTCTGATTTGGTAGATGTAACATCCCTCTTTCTGTTTTCACTCCAGGCTACCGGGCAGCCATATGAACAATATGCAAAGATGATATTTATGGAGCTAAACGATGCCTGGTCAGAATTTGAAAACCAAGGACAAAAACCCTTGTATTAGGTACTTTCTCCGTCTCCACTTCAGACCTGTGCTAGTGCTTATATAGTCTCTTGTCACAAATGTCACAGATCAACCAAACTCTGGCTGGAAATGCAGAAGTTTCAGAAAATGAAGAGCCTAATACTTATCATGAAGAACAAGAGAAAGGTTTCCTTATACTCGTATCAAGAATCCTGAGCTCAGAGGAACTCTAGCTGCCTGGCTTGCCATGTGAAAGCCATGGGGTTACAGTTTCTTGTAACTTTTGTATTTTTGTTTGGATTCAAGTGGGGCGAGAGAGAACACGTTCTGGGGAGAGGCGGAATTGTTCTGTCTCTGACACAGTGTAACTGGTGAATTTCTACCTTTTTTTTTTTTGTGATGTGGCAACACTCCAGTTCAGTCCCTGGTGGTGAAGCCCAAACTTTGATGTACTTTCTTCCTAGGTTTGGATCCAACTTTATCAAATTTAAGTGCTCAGATGTGGTTTAGGCACACTTTCTAACACTCACCATTTGCTGCTTAATTGCTGATCTAGTATAGTATACCTGAATAGAGACAAAGCTGAATCCTGGGTTAGATCAGCGTGGCAGCTGATGGCTGCTTTGTGCATTAATACTGCACTTCACCTCACAGTCCAGCAGTGAAACGTGCAGAAGAAATTCCTCAGCATTACAGAGCAAGTGTCTTAAAGCAAGCAACAAGTAATTGATGTTAAACAGCGCCTTGCTGGTTTGTTAAACAGCAGTTCAGGGGGGATAGGGGATGAGGGGGAAGAATGAATCCACATTTGTAAAAGTGAGGAATTAGCATCTACTGCATTTCCCACAAAGTCCTCATCAATAGCTTGAAACCATCAAACGATAGAAATATCAACAAACCAAAACTCTGCTGCGAAGTTTTAGAAACTTCCCAGTCTAGAGGTAATGCTACCCCTCCTGAGAATACAGAAGACTCTTCCCAGCCCACTGGTATCACCTCTATGCCTTTATCAGCTCCAGAGCACTTGGCAAAGGCTCTTGGCGGAACGCAACCTGTTGCAACTTCCCTTTTCAGACCATGGTGTACGAGCTGTCATGTAGACATCTGTGGACCAGGTCTGACTTCTGAGGTAAAGACAGTGCAAATTGATTATCTTAGTTTATATTGGACCAAAGCAATAATATCACAAGGAAATATCTCTGATGCTAAAGCTGAAGCATCTTTCCTAGTTAAAAAGCAAGTTAGGCTCTTCACCCCAAATTCTACTCCTTTTGTAGAATAACTAAAGCTAACAGTTTATTTACCAACATGTTGTATCTGTATTTGAGCTTTGAAAGGGCAGGTATATTCAGAAGACGGGCAGGAAATAGTTTGTATTTACTGCTTAAGGAACAGGTTGCTATCTGATGCGAGTCTTTAAAGCTGGTGGTTTTTAAAGACAATCCACTTGCTGTTACACTTACATTTTCAAGTGGCAAAACTCTTACTGCAAAGACAGTGTGTCAAAGTACATTGCTTTCTGTATAAAAGTCATCCTTTTGTTGTATTGGTCCATTATTTACTACCATTAATTGAAAATGTGAAACCAACACATAGGTCTCCTTTTCCATAAAAGACCTTAAGATAATAGTAACAAACTGGATGTTATTTATTAATGTTTTGATCCAGTATGTGCTTGTCTTATTTAAAGAGATAACTGGAATGTGAATCATGTTCCTGTGAGTTGTTGGTTTATTGTTTCTCATTCATATTTGTAGATATTGTGACCCATGCCTATATAATAAAAAGGATCTCATTACTATAATGTACTTTTTTAATAACAAAAACTACATTATCTTTGTATCGAGTTTGTCATGGCACATAACTCTGGTTACTCATCTGTTCACAAAATACAAATCCATCATTAAACTTTATCTACCAAAAGAAACCCTACCCCACTTAAGCTTTGATTACTTCTATCCCTAATGTTTTTATGGATGCATGAAAGTATTAGGACGTATGTATATCAAAATAGTTAACTAAAGAAAAAAAACCCACAACTTTCTTGTCATATCTGGTAGTGACAGAGGTTATCAATGTTCAGGTTTACTGTTTGACTAAATTATTGTAATTTTTGTAAATACAGTATATACTCAATGAAATTGTGACTCGTCTAAAACATTTGTATATACATTAAAAAGCTCAAATTAACATATTCAGGTATCTTTTGTGCTTGTGGGTGAAAAAACCCTCTACCTTCTTGCTTTAAACACAGTTTAGAGTAATTTCTCTGCAAATGCTGGATAAACGACAACGAATATCTGTATCCTAAACTGAAACTTATTACTACAGCATTTTACGTGTGGCTAACACCTGTGCCTTGCTCTAGCGCATGGTCGGGTGGGACCTGTGTGGTACACATAAACATAGCCATAAAATATTTGCTCTAGAGACAAATGAGTTTTTTTCTAGAGCTTTGATTTTTCTAAGGAACAAACAAGCTACATGAAGAAGCCAGGTCTTATTACTGCAAGCTGATTATAAAAAGGGCCTAATTTAGAAAACACTTGCAATGGGAAAAGATGTAGCCTTTCATACTTAAGAGGAAAAACCCTTCAGCTGAAACAGAAGATGGTAACTTGGCAATATTGCTGCTTTAAAGCGTTCACTAGTACTGTGTGGTAATTCATAAGCTGGTATTTCAGGTGGTTTTCCCAGATTACGACATTTTAGGAACAATTTGTCACTTGCTATTCTCATGCCCTTGTGCTTCAAGAGAGCAAAGAAGCACCTACCAAAATGTTGATTTGGAGCATGTAGTTACCTAAGCCTCCTGTTTTAATTAGAAGGCCTTCTTGGCCCGTCATTAATCAGCTCTAAAGTATTCAAAATGTGTTATGAAATTGGAAAAAAAAATCCACTGTATTAGACAAGATATGAAATAAAAAGAGCTTTTAGGCTGAGATGGGAGATATCGAAAGAAAAAGGCTGTGGGGAGGTGAATCTAAAGGGCTGTGCAAAATCTCCCTCAAAAAGGCTGCTCTTGGGTCAAAAAAGGGGTCCTGAAAATCTAAGGCGTGAAAAATACTGCTCTAAAAAAAAGATGTGCCCTTCATGGGGGGGATTTGCAGAAGGGTGGATGGTGCAGATTCTGAGCAAGCCACTGGATGAGACAAGCAGGCACCCAATCCCATTTTTGGGGGGTGAAAACAGGGGTTTTCAGAAGTAGCCTGCAAAATGGCATTGACTGATGGATGCGGGCTCTTTAAAACCGTAGTTATGTATTTTAACCGTGCCTGTGCACACATATATACGTGTATTTACACACATGCACGCCATATATAAACACAGAGATGTATGTTTGTGTATTTATGTGAAACCCCCGCCCCGAGGCCTGACTGGCGGTGCAGAAACTCCGCCTCGTAGCCACGGCGACGGGCTGCTCGCGACCCGGCCGCTCGCCCTTTAAAGTGGCCACGCCCCCGGTGCCGAGGAACCCGGCGGCCCTTTAAAGCGAGCGGTCACGTGACGCGGGAAAGGCAGGGAAGGCGGAAGTCGTTTTGCCGCCGCCACCTCAACTCGGTGTCGGTCAGGGCCCCGGACATGGCGGGCGTCAAAGGTACCGAAAGCTCCTACTCCCCTGTCCCTGAAGGAGTGGAGCCTTCCCCTTGAGCGAGCGGGGAGCTACGGGGTTGAGCTTCTACTTCTCAGGCATCCTCAGCGAGGAGGGAGGCGGGCGGGATAACCTTACCGGACTTCGCGGGGCGGGCTTAACCGGTGGGGCGGGAGCCGCCTCACTGCCGCCTTTTGTGCCGTTGCAGCTCTCGTAGCGCTGTCCTTCAGCGGAGCCATCGGGCTGACGTTCCTCATGCTGGGCTGCGCCCTGGAGTACTACGGGTGAGCGAGCCAGCTTCCTTCCTAGAGCTTCCCGCTCATTATATCTCCTAATTGAGGGGTTAATCTCGGTTAACTGGGCTGTTTGTCTCGAGTTGTCGTCTGGCAGTCACCTCTGCTTTCTGGTTCTTGGCACATGGCTGTTTGTTGTAGTTTAGTACCACCTCCTTAGCCAGTACTTGCATTTCCGTTTTAAAAAAAGACCGAAAACAGCTTTCTCAGGAGAAGCACTGCCATCTTGCTAAACAGTCACTTTTAACCTTGCACAGTGCTTTCCCTTCCCTGTGTCTTTAAACAGTCCTCCTACCACGAGACTCATAGCTGAGGCGTTACACTTCGAAATGCAGGTGAAGCTAATGAGACTGCCTGGGAAGGGATGAGCACACAAGGGTGTGCCTCGCTTGTACTCCAGGATCCCTCCAATCTGGCAAAGCTCTTGGTTCCTGTCCCGCTTGTGTGTGTTTCCCGTTCCCTGTGTGGTGATTGTTGTTTTTATGAGGTGGTGGTATGAGCTGAATCACTGAGGTGGTGCAAATGTAACATTAGCATTTATTATGTATTAACAATGTATTAACACTTGGTCATGGGAGAGCATGGGTCCTGCTTTACACAAGGCTGCCCAAGTGCCTGTGCCAGTACACGGTGAAAATAAGATGGGATTACCCCCTTGGGTAAAAATTTGTGGTTAAATCACGTAAGCCACTTTTCTAAACCGTGAAGTAGGATTACAGCTATTACAATTGCTTTTTCTGAACAGAAGATAATTTTTATTGAAACACTGATTGTGTATTTCCTCTTTCCCCCCTCCCCAGCGTATACTGGCCTCTGTTTGTCTTAATATTTTACTTCATCTGCCCCATTCCCCACTTCATTGCAAAAAGAGTAAGTGATGACAGTGATGCAGCCAGCAGTGCCTGCAGGGAACTGGCATATTTCTTCACAACCGGAATTGTTGTTTCTGCTTTTGGATTTCCTATAATCCTTGCACGGGTGGAAGCGGTAAGTTCTGCTTGCTAATTTTCCTTGTAAGGCAGCACTTATTGAGCAAAATCTTGCACTGTTGCTGTTTGTGAATCCTGTCCTTAATTTCATTATTGTGATGTTTTTAGATTCTGATTAAAGAATAGCTCTGCTGAAATTCTGTCAGTGCTGCTTTTTGTCCTGAACAAAGGGCTTGCATGACTGAAAAGTATTTAGCTGAGTTTTTTCCAGACTTGTTTTGGTCCAACACATTATCTCCTTCTACATCTCATGCCTCTCTGTTTTGTCAACTTTTCCACTGCTTCTTGCGCCACTTTCCTTATTTTTGTCTCAGAATGTCTGCTTTCTCCATTTAGGATGCTGAAAACTTGGTGACTGGTGTGCATTATCAGTTAAAAGATAAAAGGCCTCACTTCCAGACCTGCCCTTCTGGTTTTGAAAGCATTTCCCAAGCTCATGCTTTGTCCCCTCACAGTCTGAGGAAATTCTGCTAGTTTCTTTTCTCTTTGTTTTCTGAACTGCTCTTCAGTGGTGAAATTTTGTCACGTTTCTTTTGCAAGGGAAACAACTCTTTTGCCCTTTCTCCCAAACTACTCAATGATGGTTTTGTGTTGCGTTGTTTTTACCCCTTCAGTTTGGCTTAAAGCCTGCGTGCTTAGTTTCGATTTGTAATGCAGTTTCCCCATCCCTGCATTTTTGAAGTTGTGGACCTGACAGTACCAGAAGTGACCGCGAGAGGGAACTCTAATTCGTAGCGATACCGCTTTAAGAGTCGATATCGCTTATTTGAGTAAACTTAACCGGGCAATTCACTAAAGAAAACTGTTTACCTTAAAGACCACGTCCTGTTTTCTGTGCTTGTTACACAGTTATTTGAAAGGCAATCTTTTATTTTGTTGCATAGCAGTTAAAGGAGAGTACCAGTTTCACCAGTTTTTTCTATGACTTAAGTTTGTTTTAGTGATTTGTATGGCAGGGTAATTATTTTTTTTCTAAAACATGACATTATTAGCTTATCTGTTGATGTGTTAGTAATGTGAGTGGTTGCTGACTGAATAATTTGTCACATAAGTGGAATTATTTATTGTTTATCTTTTTTTCCTGATGCTTTTAGCACCTTTCTGTAATACTTCATGTAGTTTATGTAATGCATGCAAATAACTGGCCTGACCCTATCTTCTAAGAACTGCTTTGATTGTTTCATTTCCTTGCATTTCAGATCAAATGGGGAGCCTGTGGTCTGGTGCTGGCTGGCAATGCAGTCATTTTCCTTACCATTTTAGGCTTTTTTCTTGTGTTTGGTAGAGGAGATGACTTTAGCTGGGAACAGTGGTAGGACATCACTCTGATGCTGGTAACATTTTACAGCATGTATCACCATATGTATACCCTGTGTGTGTATATGTGTATATATTATAACGTGTGTGTGTGCACGCTGAGATGTATGTATGTGCATATGCATCAGATAATAATGTGCTTTTTTAAAAATGCATTTCAGCCAAAGGGAGAAGGCCTGTGTGACAGCTGTCTTAATGTACTCAGTAAAAGCTGGAGTCACTGTTGCAAATTTGTCCTTCAAATAAGTTTACAAAACATAAGCTGGTTTACTCATTTTTTCACTATATATGCATTAACTTTTAATCACAGTAGCATCGTGTGCTATTGGTCAGCATGCGTGTTGGGTTTAACCATGTAATCAAAATAGGCCAACATAAAGATTGTCCTGTGTGGTATTATTCAACTTGGTTTCTGCTTTGACTAGGGATGACTAAGTACGTGCTTTTCATTTAGTAATTGTAACTTTAGTGGGTTTTTCTGTAACATCAAAACAAACGTAGGTTACGCCAACTCTTCTACTGCCTAATGACAGAAAAAGAAAATAACCCTGGTTAAAAATCCGTTCTTCCACTTATACTGTTCATTTTAAATTAACTCCCCTGCAAAGATGCTCAGGCTTTGTCCCTATTCAACTTAACAACCGTGGATATATTTTGGAGAATAGTATATTTTAAGGCCTCTTTAATGCTTAGAGCTGGCAGTACTTCTCTTATGAAGGTTCACAAAAGAAGAAACTATGCTCAGGACACTTAAAATCACAGTGTATTATACAGTTCTGTGTTCTCACGTGTGAAATGCCTGAATTGCAAAGAAGTGAGTGTTCTGCTGGGTAGGACTTCTTATCTCCTCAGTTCTCATAGCTTTTAAAACATACTTATTCAACTACTGTTAAGTTTTATCTGTAAGAAGAGATTGTTATATTAAAACACTATATTTTAAATGGCATTACCCTAGTAAACATTCACATAATCACACTTTAAAAAGTAATCTTTTGACTTGCTCAATCCTGCAGATCGTGGAGGCATGTAGTATTGTAAAAATGCATTCTGATACAACCCTAACTAGAAGACATTTCAGTAACCTGCCAAGGGGTAAAGGAAGAGACACCTTAGCTTATTCTTTCACAGGAAAATAGACATAAAGAGGTTTCTGCTCTGAATTAAGAAGCTGAATTCCTCCATAGGGTATGTTCTATTATTGCAAATTCCTTAGCAGATTGCAAATGAGTATTTTCCAGTTGTGTGTTGGTTCACAGCGGACTGTTACCACCCTGAGGGACACTGCATAAGGAGGTTATAGAATCCACCCTATGAGATGTGGCAGCTTCACCAGTGCTGTGCTTTGTGCCCCCTAAATTGTACGGGACTGTTTATGCTGCTCTCCATACTCTTGTACTGCAAAATGCTGTCCTGTGGATTGAACGGTTCAAAAATGAATGAATGTTTCAGAGTATTTGGTTCATGGTTGGTGCCCTAGGAGAAGGGTACACGGGTCAGTCTGTGGTCCAAGTCACGTGATATCACTGGAGGAGGAATGGAACATCACATTTCAGGAAGGTTAATTACATGTTTTACATTTAAGCTTCAGGTGTGTGTAAGGTGAGGAGCTCGGTGCTGAGGAATGCTGTGTAGCTGGATTTTATACTGAAGCGTGTCTAGGCTGTCATTCGTGTAAAAGAATTAACGTTACATGGCAGGTTTTTTTGGATGTTAGTGCTGCATCAAAGAAACAGCA